TCTTGTCACTGTTCCTAGGTCTAACTGACGCATCTAGGTGCTCAACAAGGTAGCTTAAGGCACTGGGGACAAGGTTCCTGCAGAGGAGTCCTTGAAGATAAGACGTTAATGTTCTTCTTAAAATGGCAAATGGCTGATTGTCATGCTTCTGTCCTTGTTCATCGGCTGGTTCTTGTTATTTGTTCTTTAGTCTTACCCTTTTCCTCTTACCGCCCCAACTTAAAGTATTTGCGAACAGTATGTATTTGGGTCTGGTGATAATTAATCAGTAGGTAAACTTTTGCTTACATAGTTGGTTAGAAAAATTTGTGTTGACAATCTACTGGTAAGGTACTTGCATTCAATTGGTACGAAAGCTGTTCGGGTGAGAAATATAACTCTTGCTTGTTGTCTCGTTTCCTTTTTGAAATGAACATTTATAGTTGGTTCTGATGACGTTAATTCAATCATGATAAAAATAATTGCTGAGAGTTCAACATATTTTTGTCCCCATTTCCTGGTGTAGGCGAACCTATGGTGGGCAGAAGCTGTGGGAGTCCAAAGATGACAAAAGGTGGGGGCATGACAAATTCGAAGAGATGTCTTCACTTGAAAGACATCATGACCAGGTGATTATTCTGCAACGTGTTTATTTTGATGAGTCAGCGTACTCGCTTTGTTCTATGCTCTTGTTCCTTTTTGCATTATGTCTAGATTTCTCTCTTCTGGAAAATGACCTGAGAAGTATTTTAGGGTAGAAGAAACTCTAGAGGTAGTTATCGTGGTCGTGGTGGTAAGAGTCGTGGTCCAGAACAAGGGTATGGAAGAAGAAGCAGCTCTGGTGCATTCAGCAATGGGAACAACCAGAGCCAGGGACCTAAAAGTGTGAGAGGGAGAGGCCCCAGAAAGTATGAACCTAACTGGAAGAACAGTAGTCCAGCACCTTCTTTGCAAAATAAGCAGCCTGTTGAGAAGACATCACATGGTTCGGGTAGAGCAGCAACAGTCATGTCAAATCCAGATTCAGACCAAGTGCCACCAGCAACAAAACATTCAAGCTTAAATTCTGCTTCTCCTCCATTTTATCCTTCTGGGTCTTCAAGTAAAGATGCTACTGTGACACAGAAAAATAATATGCAATCTGGAAGTGCAAGTCGGAATAATGTGCAGCAGACTGGTCCACTAGCACGTGGGAAAAATATATCCGACACTGTTGCCATGGACAAACTTTACATTGATGACCGTGCTCCATTGAGTTCTGGGAAGGCTTTCAACAATGTTAAGATGCCACTGGTTTCTTCTTCAATGGTCAACAACTCCTCACAAACGTCTCAAACCAGGGCTCATGGAAGAGCTGTACCTGTTTCTGGACAGGTGGGTTATCAATCGACCGTCCCTCAGAACCAAGTCAATAGAACCTCTCAAGCAGCTCAACACCATGCAGTTCAGCGAGGTGTTTCCCAAAGCCGGGTTCAGTCCTCTGCTCAAGCACCTAGTCAGCAGTCATCACAGCGTTCTGGTGGAGGATCTCGAGCTTCTTCTCCACCCAGTTCAGCTATGTCAGAAAATTCTTATGAACATGGTGAAGCTGAAAGTACTTCAGAGTCTAGTAAATCTAGGACAGCATTGGTTGGGCAGGGGAAAGGTCCGTTCATTTATGGGGGAGCTCAAGTTGTGGCAACCTCTGGAGCTATGGGTGTTGTCCCTGGTGATCAGAACTTCCCTGCAAGACCTGCTTTCTTTCCTGGTACTGTCTTTTGCATCTATAGCCATTTTTATATTATAGTTTTTTCTCAATGTGAGATTTGTATTGATTACTGGCTTATGTAAGCTGAGCCTTATGTAGCCTTATGCTTTTGTTTGTTGTGTCTTTAATTTCATTTTGCTATAAGATTCCTGTTCTGTGGTAGCTGGTAGGTCTCCCTTGTGCTCCTACATTCTTTGGTGCTTTTGACATGGACACTCCCTCTTTGGACTCACCAGTCGGGAGAATAGTTTTCTTTACTAGAGGCTTTTTTTGTGTTCTTTGTCTTCCTTTTAGTTTTGAATTAGAGAAACCTATGAGTAATTGCAGTATATGGTTGATTTGGAATGTGTATATAATACTTGTTTCACTGTTGATTTGGCCTGCAGTGATGCAAATTGGTGGCCAGCATCCTGGTGGCATGGGTGTTCCTGCTCTTGGCATGGCTTTTCCTGGATATGTTGCTCAGAATCAACATGGTTTGGGGAATTCAGAAATGACATGGTACTTTTGTTTTTAGTTCTGCTCTTCAAGTGGTTGATAACAACTTGTCGTGTCTTCTTATAGTGTTCCTGCTGATGGTGTTCAAAATTCTTATTATTTGTGCAGGTTGCCAGTTTTGACTGGTGCTGCAGGAGCCTTAGGTGCTGCATACTGTCCTTCCTATCTTACTGTTGATGGCTCTTCTTATCATGCACTGCCAGCCGGGCAGGCATCCTCTATGAGCTCTTCTAGGTTAGCTTCGATAATGCAGGGTTTCTTTTAGCAGATTCATGTTGACTATTGTAAATTGCTCTTGACAAGGTTTCCCCTGCTGGGTAATAGTTTTAGGTTTCTTTTATTGGAAGTATTCTGTCATGTTCGTATCATCCTAAACACTTTTTCTCTGCTGGAGACATTCATTGAAGTATATAGTTTTTCATGTTAAGAAGAATTAATTACTGCTGACCATTTATAGAGGATGCTGTTGTACTTTAACCATTTGGCAGAATCACACTTGTCCGTATGAGAAGCTGTATAGAATCTGTAAAGCCTTTTTGTTGGATTTCTTACATTTGGTGTTCCACCCCTTTCTAATATTAGCATGTTCAGAGACCTGTATAGTGGTAGCAGATTGGGGCATTGTCATGAACAGTCTCTATATTCCATGCTTACAATAATTGAACTTATGCATGAACGCTATGTTCTAATAGTTTGGTGCTATCTTTCGTAAGTTCCTGTATCAATTCAATGCAAAAAGTAGCTGCAACTGGTTTACTTTATGGTAATTTTAGTTTTTTCTAATTTTGTTCTTTTGTCTTTGCAGCAAAGAGACTAACGCAAGCCAATCAAACAATGAATTGAAACCTTCACAAAGACCTGGTAGGAAAAGTAAACTTTTACTTGTTACCTTGTCTTTGATCCTGTTAGTTGTCCAACCTCATTAAAGTAAAGGGTAACTGATCAATGTTGGTTGTTTGCAGAGGCCGCGGGTGAAGAATATGGGCAACGACAGAAGCCTCGCAGGCAAGTTGAGTGCGTAATGTACTCCTTCATTTCTCTCTGGTGTCTCGTGTTGAGGTTTAAAATGTACTTCTCTTTCTTTCTACAGATACTCAGAAATGGATTTTAAGCAGCCAAGTACAAGTACCTAGATGTGGTGGGGATGCATGTCTGGAATAGGAATTAGAGGAAGGTTAGATTTTACTGAAAAGTAGAGCTTCAGCCCGGATCTTCTGTCATCTGTGTTTTCAAACCCTTGAAAACCTCAATTTTGGTGCTTCTTTATTGGCCTCTATGAAACTCGAGCATTTTTCGTCACTTGATGCAGGCTGTGCGTGTTTACATCAGGCCCTTTGTGTTCTCCAGCATGGAGTGCTTTGTGCGACAGACCATCCCAAAGAAATGTTAGGTAAATCCCCTCGTGGTCAGGCTTTACAGATTCCGTTAGCAACGAAACATTCTGCCAAGCAAGGTTTGACCTGCTGCATGAAATGCAGTTATATGTAACGACAAACATCTGCTCGTGCTGGAACACAAGTTATGTGGCTTGACGGGTGGCAGTTTCTTGTTTTAACGTACGGTATGTATGGCTCTGAATCTGAACATCCTTTTGATGAGAAGTCATACCATCTGGTTTAATTGTGGGTTTGTGGCTTGGTGTGGTTTCAGGTTTTCTTGTGACTTGGTTTTCAAACTGAAGCATATGAGAAGTGTGTAATATCAGGAGAGGGTTTCTCCCAGAGAGACGGTTAAGTAGGGCGCGTATAAAGCTATTTCCAGATGGAGTTGTGCAGAAAGCTGTTTGCTTTGGTCTGCCTCGTGGTTGATCAGTGACAGATAAGAGATTGGTTTTCTTCCTTGAGCTTATGATCTTTCCATTTTTTCCCCTCTTCAGTACTGTAAGTTATTTTGCTTCGGTTGAAGACCTCCTGAACATTGTTTGGAGAGAGATGTTTGAGAACTGTTTTCTGAAGTTTGGATGAGATGTGTTATTTATTTTGGTCTGTTGGATGAGGGAACTGTTACAAGCTGCTCTTTTGTTTGGAATAAGAAGTGTCTATCTATGTACACCTCCTTTTTGTATGTTTGAAGTGTTAGTTAACCTGTTAGCTCCCGCGTGTTCCTCACCTGGGTGTTGTAACATGGTGACATTAACAGTGTGTAAAATCTTCAACTTGTCCCCTCTTTTCACAACTCTCTTCTCGTTGGATTTGCATGTCGAGATTAACTTGGCTAGTACTTAGTCTTCGAGTTTACGTTGTACGCGTAAAGCGTATTAATACACTATGATACTTATAGGGCATCCGTAAGAATGTACTCATAAAATGTTGTGATCATTTGACCCACAATCTGACGACAATGAGTTCTTTTAAACATATTCTCACAGATTTGACCATAAGCATTTTTAGCAAAGGCTCGCATTATCGCCTTAGGTAACAGTTTATTGCAAGGATCAGCACGTCACTCCCGTTCCTGGGCTCCCAAATCCTAACAATAATTGCCACAATTAATAATCTGAACAAAATGTAACTTGGTTATGCGATTTCCTAAAAGTTTCCAATATGTTAGTTGTATCTTGTATGCAAAGATTCCGTTTTCCCGCCAAACCAATGGCCACGATGAACTACAAATGCACCCACCGACACGGAGCAGTAACTACTTATGGCCCACAACTGCTACAGAGAGCGGATCTTCGAATTAAAAACTCCCACGTGGCTCGAGAGCCAGATGACCACGGAAACCACGACACACCTGATAAAAAATCCCCCCTCCAAGTCCCAGATGACGCGTGTGACTCGCACGTGCTGTCCGTTTTCTTTCTTCGTCAACTCCCTTTCCTTTCCCTCTTTATCTCTCTCTCTTTCAGCCTGTCTTTTTCTCTTCTTGCTCTGCTGATCCTCAGTACTAAAATTCTGAACTTCCCTTTTTTAGTGCTCAACGCCGACAAGATCGTTACGCTCGCGATAGGTGCTTTGATTGCTCAGATCGTTCACAAGGAAGAGAAGAATCCTGCGTTTTCTACTGGTGTGTTGAAGCTTGCATTGTATGGTAACCAAGCTTGAACTGAGCTCTATATCGCATCTGTTCTTTAGAGCTTCTTTTTGTAGATTTCAGGGATCCTGATTCCTGAACTAAGCGCGGTGCTTCTTGCTTTTCCGCTCTTGAAAGTTTTAGTTGCTTTCGTTTCTCTCTTATTTCTTGTTTTGGTTCCCGAGAAGTGAGAACTCTTTTTGAATTCCTCAATTACGCGAGAGGATTAGGATTTGTGCTCAAGCGAGGATCTGTGTGTTCTGCGGATGTGCTAATTTCTGATGAACTGTATAAGAATCGTTTGCTTTCTCGTGTCAGGTAAGCTTTGAAGGGCCTCGCATGAAGTCTTGGATGCTGATTGTAAGTTTAGAAGAGGATTGTCAATGCTGTTGAGCTCGGGAGAGTTATGGAGGAGAGCACACTGAGAACAGATTTGCATGTGAATACGTCTAGGCAATCACCGTTGAGGCCGAATGGAAACCTTAAGTCCATGGGATCTGCTGGAAGAACAACGCCTAGGAACTCTCCTACTTATAAGCGGTTGAATTCCAGCAGAACTCCAAGGAGGGAAGGGAGAGGAAGTGGAGGAGGTAGGTTCCAGTGGTTTCGGAGCAATCGGCTTGTGTACTGGCTGCTTCTGATTACTCTCTGGACTTACCTAGGGTTCTATGTCCAGTCCAGGTGGGCTCATGGTATTAACAAGGATGAATTTCTAGGGTTTGGAGGTAGAAATCGAATTGCAGAAGCAAAGAGTTCTCAGGAGAATAATAATCCAAGGGTGTTGCTGGGCAATGAGTCTTCTCTAGATGTAAATAGTAGTACAATCCATGTGGAAGATGGGAAAGGGATTGAGGTAGTTTTGGCCAAGAAGGAATATGAAGCCTCAAATAATCAGAGCGTGGTCCCGAAAAAGAAAGAGAAGAGATCTGTACGCAGGCAACGCGGTAGAGGACGTGGCAGGAAGAAGTCGAAAATTGAAGTTGTAAGAGATGATGTAGAGGTGGAAGAACCAGATGTCCCTAAAAGGAATACTTCCTATGGTTTGCTTGTTGGTCCATTTGGGACAACAGAGGACAAAGTTTTGGAATGGAGTCCCGAGAAGCGAAGTGGAACTTGTGATAGGAAGGGTGCCTTTGCACGTCTTGTATGGTCGAGGAAATTCGTTTTGATTTTCCACGAGCTCTCCATGACTGGAGCTCCACTTTCCATGTTGGAATTAGCATCAGAACTTTTGAGCTGTGGGGCCACTGTTTCGGTTGTAGTTCTCAGCAGGAAAGGTGGGCTGATGCCAGAACTTAACAAGAGAAGGATCAAAGTGCTTGATGATAAAGCAGATTTCAGCTTCAAAACTGCCATGAAGGCTGATCTTGTCATTGCTGGATCAGCAGTTTGTGCATCGTGGATAGGTAAGCTTTTGTATGTTATCTGGTGTTTGTAAGAGTCATTGATTAATGGTTATGCTTGACTATTCTCTTATTGAAGTATTCCTGTTTTACCATTTGTCTGGTTTACTGCTTTTGCTTGAACTGTGCTAGAATTGCCAAAGGCAGCTCTCTTTTTCTCTGGATTGATGAAGTAAATGAACTCAAATGATGACCTTTTTTTCTTCAGATCAATATATTACTCGGTTTCCAGCTGGGGGAAGTCAAATTGTGTGGTGGATTATGGAAAACAGGAGGGAGTACTTTGATCGCTCGAAGATCGTCCTTGACAGAGTCAAAATGCTAGTCTTTCTTTCTGAATCCCAGGCCAGACAATGGCAAACTTGGTGTGAGGGAGAAAGCATCAAGCTCAGATCCCCACCAGCTGTGGTGGAACTTTCTGTCAATGACGAGTTGGCTTTTGTAGCTGGGATCCCATGTTCACTAAATTCTCCATCTTCTAGCCCGGAGAAGATGGTCGAGAAGAAACAGTTACTCCGGGATTCAGTAAGGAGAGAGATGGGATTGAGTGATAGTGATATGCTTGTGATGTCTCTCAGCAGCATAAACCCTGGCAAGGGTCAGCTGTTACTTCTTGAATCAGCAAAGCTGTTGATTGAACATGATGATCTACAAAAAGGAAGGAATTCGGATGTAGACAGAGATCTCTCTGACCTGGCCGGGAAACATCATTTAAGATCGTTGTTGCAAGACACACATCTTAGGAGGGTTCTTTCTTACAGTGCAGTAGCACAGGAATCGAATCTTAAAGTTCTTGTGGGCTCTGTAGGATCTAAGAGCAATAAGGTGCCTTACGTTAAGGAACTTTTGGGTTTCCTATCCCGGCATTCAAACTTGTCAAAATCGGTCCTGTGGACTCCAGCAACAACTAGGGTGGCATCACTTTATTCTGCAGCAGATGTTTATGTCATAAACTCCCAGGTGACCAGTCTTAACTTACGTGATATGTGCCTTCTAATACGACATAATGAGTGCTCGTATAACATTATTACTTTGCTGCTGATCAATGTGCTATGCTTAAGCTACAAGTTTATTTACAGTGGCAAGTAAATGATACATGTCATTTTCAGGGAATCGGAGAAACATTTGGAAGAGTTACGATTGAAGCCATGGCATTCAGTCTTCCGGTAAGGCAGCCAATTTCCTCTTCTTTCAACTCCTTGTTTCTGGCCAGCAAAAGCTACCGTAATCTGATTTGCTTTCCATGGGTTCCTGATGCTGCAACAGGTGCTAGGAACAGAAGCTGGAGGGACGATAGAAATCGTGGAGAACAACGTAACGGGGCTCCTCCACCCGGTGGGGCGGCCAGGGAGTCGTGTTCTTGCCGAGAACCTAAGATTCTTGATCGAGAATCCGGAAGTGAGGAAGGAAATGGGGATGAAAGGGAGGCAGAAAGTAGAGAGGAAGTACCTGAAGAAGCATATGTACAAGAAGTTCGGTGAGGTGCTGTACAAGTGTATGCAAATCAAGTGAAAACGTTTGGGCCAATTATAGAGAACACATTATTCTTTCATTGGTTTTTGGGGCAACTGAAGGCAAATCCACTAGCGTGGATACTGAATACGTGCATTACACAACTTACACTGTCTTTGTTGTATCCAAAAAGTTACCAATTTGTAATCCAATACTGTCGATTAGCTGGCAATATGGCACCGTCCAACATTCTGTTCATGGTGGTATGTTTCAAGTTTCAAATTACTACTAAAAAAAAAGTTTCAATTTACTACTAAAAAAAAAGTTTCAAATTAAGCACGATGTAGATTAGGTGATCGAAAGGGGTGTGCAACGGTACGAGGTACCAAACTGAATACAACTCGATTTCATGAATTTATGTATTATAAAAAAAAAAAGAAAAAAAAAATCCCAAAATACATATATTGTTAAAATAAAATTCTCAAAAATTCTCAAAATACACATGTTTGTGCATCATCGTGCATCACCGCGGTTGACGGCCACGGTAAATGCCTTGTTAAGAACCAATTGATCCCAATATCCCAATAACTCGAGTTGTTGGGAGAGGTTCAATCGTGGATCATATAACACACACTAACATGTCTGACGTAACACTGAAACTTAACTTTGCGCTCGATTATCCAATTGTAGCGAATTTTTTTTATTCCGCATAACTTTTCAAGATCTTTCAATCTGCAACGAACATTCATCCAAAAAATGTCGTTTGCTACCCCAAACAAGCAATTTTTCGATTTTTCCAAACTTCGGAAGACCATAACTTTTTGCTCCTCAATTTGAACGCCATAATTTTTTTTTGATTGTGCATAACTTTTTAAGAACTAAAACTTTTACCAAGAAAGAATTTTTTTAAAAAGAATATTTTTGGTTATATGGAATTTTGAGAATAACTTTGCCTTTACTTTTCACAAATCCACATACATTCCAAAATTATGGTTATGATAAAAGTTGCAGTCCTTCAAAAGTTATACGAAAGAAAAAAAACGTTTCATGACATTCGGATTGCGGAGCACAAAGTTATGGTCTTCCAAAGTTTGTCGAACTAAAAAAAATTGCTCGTTCGGGGTAGCAAACGACATTTTTATGAGATGAAGTTGTTGCATATTGAAAGATCTTGAAAAGTTATGTGGTGTCATGACTGGGGAGCTCAATTAGTATGATATTGTACGCTTTGGGACAAGTCCGCGCGATTTTACTCTTGGGTGTCCTCCCCGAAAGGACTCGTACTAATTGGGCTAGGTGGGTGGACACTTATATACAAGGGTTCATTCCCTTGTATTACCGATGTGGTACTTGGATTGTCCCATAACATGTGGAATAAAAAAAATTCGCTACAATCGGATAACCGAGCACAAAGTTACGTTCGTTTGAAGTTTCAATGTTAGGTTAGGCATTCATCGCGGCCGTCAACCGCGGTGATGCATTCACCGCTTTCGTCTGCCGCGGTGAATGCATTATTTCGGTTGACGACCGCAGTGATGCACAAATATGTGTATTTTTTTGGAATTTTTTCATAAAACATGTGTATTTTGAGATTTTTTTTAAAACATGTGTATTTTGGGATTTATTAAAAAAAGATCGACATCGATATTTAGATTATGAAATGTATTTGTATTAAGGGTTTGATTTTCAAAATTTTTTATTTTTTGACGGGGTTATCTTGATTAGTCTGATTTTGGATCGGACATGACCACAACACACTCTCAAGTTAATGGGAGACAACCAAATCTCAAACTAAAGATCATAATTAACATCGCTAATTAATCAATGCATTTTGTGAACAAATTATCAAAATATTCATTATCGATAAGAGCATTCATTATTACTATTGCAATGATAAATCCATTAGCCATGAGAGATTAATTCTATTTTTTTCCAAATCGGTGTAAAGTACTCTTTTAGATCATTGATATTGAAAATTTATTTTGATATGATATGTATTTGCAATGGTATTATGCAATTTTATTGATGTAGATGACAACTAAATCTTTGTAAGATTGTATCTAATGCAATTATTGGTTGCAACCCTTGCCATCTTTTTAGTATTAAATTATTTATATTATTTAAGAGTTTATGTTTGTAAATTGATATTAAAAAAATCAAATTCAAATGTATGTAGATAAAAGGAAATTAACATAAGTGGTATGAAGTAGCAATAGAATATTACCAACAACAAAAAAAATTGGCAATAGAAACAACATACATACACCATTGGTTTTGCAATTGCATGAATGTAAATACTCTTAATATCTCAAATAAAATAAGTGATTAAATTAATCTCTTTGACATGAGTGAGAAACAATAAACCGTGACCTACAAGTGAATCGATATACTTTTTTAGGACAATGTTTTTAATAATTTTCTTTTCCACCATGAGATTTTTAAGGCATGAATTATAATCCAATAAGGTCCCAACAAGTGCTAAAACCCCCCTCTAATAGAGTTCCAAAATGCAATAAATGCTAAAAGTTCTAAGTTTGGGGACCAAATCTGGCACACAAAAAGACAAAATGGGCTAAACCAACATGGTACCACTAGCTGTAGACGGGGACAAGTCGAGTCGAGTTTTACTAAATTTGAGTCGACTTGTTCTTAATGAGACGAGCCGGTCCGAATTTTGTCTAAGCTTGACCTTGACTCATTAAGAAACAAGCCGAGCTCGAGCTTGACTCATTAAGAAGCTCATCAATCAACTCACGAACTCGGCTCATTTATATGTCTAAATGGTTGAAGTCATAAATTAAACTCTAAAATAACTTATAACTTGACTACCGTAATATTTATATGTCATATATGATACATGTGGTTAATAAAATAAGAATAATAGTCAGATTTCATCAATAATTGATCTCATGTTTATATACTATGTTGGTATGATATAATTTAGTTCATTGGTTTAACTAATTCATATTATGTTATTGAATAATATTTAGTAACTAAACATTCTATAATACATAATTTCTCTATCAAATTATAAATATGACATATTCAAGGTCTTAAACTATAAGTCAGTAGTCGAATTGGCTCACTAACTATATTATTGAGTCAGCTCATTAGTTGAACTCAACGAGCCACTTAGTCGAGTTAGCTCGCGAGCTTCATGAGCCAAACAAGGATAGGATCAAGTTTGGCTCGTTTACTGACGAACCAAGTTACAAACGAGAGTTTTCCAATTCCAACGCCAAACTGCTCATGAGTAGCTTGATTGATTTTCAGCCCTGGAACGTAGCCAATCCTTCCAGTGCAGCGCACGCCGCGTTCCGCGTCTCACCTTCCGCATCTGTCCGTGCATTTTTTTTTTGCAATTAGTTATTGTTATTATTTAATATAATTTAGAACAACGTCCTGTAAACATGTGTTTACTTTGACAAAAAAAAAAACATATGTTACAGTAATTTTTTTTAACATCAATTGAATTAATAGTTTATTTTATGGAAGAATTAATAGTTTATTTTTACATTTTTTTGAGTGGAAGAATTAATAGTTTATTGAAAACATAGTTTTCGTAGATAATTTTGTGATCAATTTGGCATTATTTGAACAAATTACTGTATTTTCTTAATTAATAACGTTATATTTAACGATAATTTTTTTAAGTTTCAAATTAAAAAAATATCAAAATATTCATTTTAATTAATTACTTATATAAAAATAATGAATAAATGATCTAATTAAAAAGATGAATCCAATCGTCTCCAGTATATCGCCCCAACGATCGTTGATGGTTCGTTGGTGATACCGCGGGCGGTTCAAGAGGAGTGTGCTAATCGGTGGAGGAATGCGCCAATGCCAGCTCTTGAGAAATTGCGCCTATGGGCACATCGATTCTGGGGTTGAGATGACAAGGTCTATGTCTCTCTATTCGTGGATAAAATGTTCATATTTCAGTTCTCAGATCCGAATACAAGTAGTTGGGTTTTTGAAAATGGTCCATGGCATCATGAGAACAACCCATTGTTTCTTAGGAGGCGGGTTCCACGGATTCAGCCTGTCAAGATGAGTCTCAAATATCTGCCTATATGGGTACAGTTAAGTGGAATTCCTCTTGAGTATAGTACTGCCGAAGTATTGAGTCGAATTGCTAGTATGTTGGGTGTTCCTCTCTGGATGGATCAGGCGAATCGTTTGGGGCTCATTCTGGTGTGGTTCGTGTGTGTGGAAATTTAGCAGATTTTGGATTCCCAGAAATGCTAAGTATCACACTGAAGGAGAGAGGCCGATGCATTTGGTTGTCCGATACCTTCATGTTCCTCATTGCTGCTCTCAATGCGTGGAGTATGGTCATTGCGAGGGAGAGGGAACGAAATGTAAGGTTGTTCAAATTAATGTGGGGAAGGATCTTTTTATTGCGGAAGCTATGACTGAGGAGGTGGCTTGGGTCACTAAGCCATTGCAAGCTGCTGATGTGGCCAGTTCTTCGTCAGTGTCCTCGGATCCTGTACAAGAACAAGCTATGGTGGTCACTGCTCCCCCAGTGGCTAGCTCGGGTCCTGTTGCAGGCTAAAGCACTACTGATGAAGGCCAGAGCACTAACACATGCCAGGTAATAGGTACTCCTCCCACTCTATCTAATGGCAAGATAATTGATGAGGATGTGTTTCAACTGGTTGTTCGGAAAGGGAAGACAATTGATATGGATTCTACATTGAAGATACCAGCATTAGCTGTGTAAGCTAGGGTCCAATTGAATGCAAGAAGTTAGGCATTGGCTATCCGTGATTCTCATAAAAAAGGGAGGGCAGGAGAAGGAAGTGATGAGGGTGTTATGTTGGAACCTCAGGGGATTCCTGCCCCCTGAGAAGCATAGCTATATCACTACTAAAGTTTTACAGAATAAAGTTGATTTGTTTGCTATATTAGAAACTAGAGTTACAGTTATTAATGCAAAGAATATTCTACAGCGTAAGTTTGGGGATTGGAAGTATCTAAATAATTACAAGTTTTCTCTATCTGGTAGAGTTTGGTTGTTCTGGAAGGCTTCTTTGAAAGTTCATGAAGAGGCAATAGGTGAACATTTTATCCAAGTTAGGGTGGAGGGTGTGCAACAATGTTTGCTAACTGCAGTTTATAGTCCAAATAAATCTCACATAGGATTCTGATGTATGCTGAACTTCAATTGAAGTGTGTTCAGGGGATACTTTAATGCAGTAGCTTAAGTATCTGAAGCATCTAATATGTCAATCTTGACTAAGAGTTGCTTGGATTTCAGGCAATGGATAACTGATATGAAACTTGTGGATCATAAAGTTCAGGGATCCTTGCTAACTTGGCGGAACAAACAGGCTGCCAATCCCATAGCTAAAAGGCTTGATCGGTTTTTGGTGAGTGGTGAATGGTTGGATTGCTTCCCTCACAGTATAACACATACTCTGTCCCTTGGGGTCTCGGATCACTGTGGTCTGCTTATGGATTCTTCTCCACCAGTTGACTACATTCCGAAGCCTTTCAAATATTTTAAGATGTGGAGACAGAATCCACAGTATGAAGGATTGGTAATAGAAGCATGGGATGAAGAAGTATCAAAGCCTTTTTATAAGCAGTTTTATAAGAAACTTAAGATCCTTAAGGCTAAATTGAAGACTTTAAATTGGTAGAGCTACTATGACATTTCTGCTAGAGCATGTGAAGCTGAATTTGAGTTAAAAAGGCAGACTGAGGTACTTTTGCACCCCGCTGAAGCTAATATAAAACTGGAGTTGGAGCAGGCTGCTCTTTGCAATGAGCTTCTGAAGGTTGAGGAAAGTCTTTATCGTCAGAAATCATGAGTCAATTGTATTCAAGGGGGAGATGCAAACATAACTTATTTCCATCGTATGGTGAAAACAAGGAATCAAAGGCAGTCTATAATGAAGCTGATTAAAGAGGATGGAAGTGTAGTTACAAGAAATGGGAATGGTGGCCGTGGATTTCAACCAGGGACTGTTGGGGAAAGTAGATCCTGAAGTCCAAAATCATTCAGTTGAGTATTACAGCAGATTCTTGCGCACTAAGTTTGATGCAGAGGCAGCTGCTTCTTTATTGAGTCCTGTCTCTAGGGAGGAGATAAAGAGTGTGTTTATGCATATGCCTAATGACAAAGCGTCGGACCCTGTAGTAGATCGAATGAAGAATTTTAGGCCAATTTCAAACTAGTACAATGCCAAGACAGGTAAACTCCACAATCATATCTCTGATTCCTAAGTTGCCTGTAGTGGATCGAATGAAGAATTTTAGGCCAATTTCGTGTTGCAATGTACTGTATAAGGGCATATCCAAAATACTTGCAAACAGATTGGCTGTTGTCTTTCCACTAGTTATAGGTAACTCACAATCAACTTTTGTTAAAGTCTGGTTAATAAGCTACAATATCTTAATGACATCTGAGCAGGCCCAGCCAACCTTGTGCTGGTTAGACCCACAGCACAAGGCCTCAATTTTATGGGGCCTCTTAATAAGTCTTGAGGCCCACTTCGACTGCCAAGCCCACATATAATTCATTAGTCCGGAGGCCCCACTTGGGGGGGGGGGGGGGGGGGGGCAACAACTCTCGGCCACTTCGGCTGGCAAGGCGGAGGCCCATTTGAGCTGGCAACAATTCCACACAAAAACAAAATGTAGCAACTGCCATGGAAGGGAATCAAACCATTGATCTCCTTATCATTAAAAAAAAGAATTAACCACTAAGCTAGAACTTGTTTGATGTGTTTAACCAACAGTTAGTTTATTTAACGCCTCTCTTCTTCTCTTTACCTAAAATTTCTCAGCTTCCCAAAACCATCCAACGCCTAAATATGAATTATTCACACTCAATTCTAATTAACTCCTAATCTATGTCCATCCCTACTATCCAGGCTCCTAATCAACTTATTTTAAGTTCTAACCTTTTTTCTTTTTCTTTTGTAGGGAATTTAATATTGATTGAAAATTTGAAATCATTAATCTTTGATTATAATTTTTAATTATGTCAACCCGAAAATTTGAAAAGGTAGTTCTAAGCGTAAAAGAAAATAGAGAATTGAGGAGCCAGGATACTAGTAGTCGATCTTGATGGCAATTCGAAAATTAGAAGTGAGGCTAAATCTTTGGCACAAAATGAACTTGGTGATATTGAGGTCATTGTTTCAATAGTTATTTTGTATGAAATATTGCACTCAACAGATTCGGTTAGTAAACATTTACAATGCAAAGATATGCTTATCGATTATGCTATTTTATAAATAGATGGATTGATTTCATTTTTCAGAAGATATTGAGAAGATGAACTGGCTAATAGAGGATTTTATTTTAAATAATACTAGACAATTGTTACTTTTTGAACAATGATAGTTAATATTATTACTTTTGTAATCATTTTCTAAACTTATATAATTTTTATTTTTAATAATTTGCGAAGAAAAAATTTTGGGGGCCATATTTTAAATTGTCGAACAGGGCCTCCGAATATCATGGGACGGCCCTGCATCTGAGCTGGTGAAAGATTATCATAAGAAGAGCATATCATCGAGGTGTGTTTTGAAAATAGATCTTATGAAGGCATTCAATTAAGTGTATTGGGACTTTCTGTTTAAGGTTCTAATTGCTATGGGATTCCCAGCTGAGTATGTTAAACTAGTGGAAGCATGTGCTAGAACACCTATGTTAAGTGTTTGTTTTAATGGAGGATTATGTGGTTTTATTCCTGCAAGCAAAGGGCTTCGGCAGGGTGATCTCCTCTCGCCTTACTTGTTTACAATCGCTATGGAATATTTCTCATGTATACTGCATCAAGATGTAATTACAAATCATATTCCATACCATCCTACGTGTAAGGCTTTAGAGATATCTCATCTTTGTTTTGCGGATGATCTTCTAGTCTTCACTAATGGATCAGTTAGGGAAGTTGTAGGGATCAAAAGGTTGTTTGAGAGATTCTATAAGGATTCAGGTCTTAAATGCAATATTGAGAAATGTCAGTTGTTATGTGCTGGGATACCTGAGGATGAAAAGATCTGGATATCACAGATAACTGGTTCCCCCTTGCAGTACTTCCAGTGAGGTACCATGGTGTACCACTTATTACAGTGAAGCTTTCGGCTAATGATTGTAAGGTGTTGGTGGAAAAAATCACAGCAAGAATCACTACGTGACAAGCCAACTTGTTGAGCTATGCGAGGAGATTACAACTAATTTCTTATGTGATCACCAGCACTATGTAGTATTGGATGGCATTGTTCTTGCTGCCTCTGAAGGTTCTGAAAGAGATGGAAAGAATTTTTAATAGATTTCTATGGGGAGTGGGAGATGCAAAGAGAGGAAAAGGGCTTTAGTGTCCTGGGACAGAGTGGCTTTACTCAAGACAGAAGGGGGTCTGGGCATAAAGAACTTTAAAACATGGAATAAAGGTTGTGCAATACGTCATCTCTGGAATTTGCTGGCAAAGGCAGGGTCTTTATGGGTTGCGTGGATCAAAGCAGTCAAAATCGGGATTTTACTTAAAATCGAAAACTGAGGTAAAATCGGAATCGTAAAATTGAATCGTAAAATCGTAGGATTTTAAGTACCATATAGAATATAACATATAATAATATTAATAAGGTAAATCATTAATAACACAAAGATACATATCATTTAAAATGATAATTCTCAAGATTTTTTTTTTGACAAAAGATAATTCTCAAGATTAATGTTCCAAAATAACTATTTTAATTATTATTTAATGCGTAACTCAAAATAATTCATGAGGAAGGGATAGAGCTCAATGGGTTTGGCTCTTGTTTTCATGTTGTGTCTAGGTCGTTTAACTCACAATAGTATTTCGACATTGTCTAAGTATGCTTTAAAACTAAAAAGAATTGAACTCTAATAAAATCAGTAATGCTAGTGGCTTGGATAAATATATTAATTAAATAATTAATAATGATGTTAATTCTTACGTACTTCTAATATTAGGACAATTGTTTTACCAATAAGTTAACTTGCGCGAAGGGAAAGGGATTGACCGAGCTATAAATTGGTTATTTTTATTATTTTTAAATATTTTTTTTATAGAAAAAAGTATCTGAGAAGATTCTCATCATTGCCCTTTCCGCCGAAACAGTTATGCTTCTTTTAAATTGGCTCAAACCACCTATTTTGTTCTCATACGATCAAAATCCCGATTTTGGTACGATTTTACGATTTTAATCCCGATTTTAAACAATTTTAAGATCCACCGATTTTATAGTAAAATCAGGATCGGAATCCCTAAGTAAAATCCTACGATTTTACGATCAAAATCCCGATTTTGACTGCATTGACGTGGATAATGGAGTACAAAGTGAAAGGACAATCAATATGGACCTTGTCTGAGAAGTCTTTAGGTTCTTGGATTTGGCGACGCATCCTCAAATGCAGAAGTATTGCACTTCCTCATCTATCAGGAGCTGGAGCTTCTTTGGAATGGGATGGTAAGGCTCTCTCTCGCTTTTCTGTTAAAACTGTGTGGTCATCTATTCGTGTCCCTTACCCTAGTGTTAATTGGAGTGAAGTTGTGTGGGAAAAACCTTACATCTCACAACACAGTGTTCTGGTGTGGCTTATTGTTCTAGATCGTATTAAGACAAAGGATGCGAAATATAACTCCAAATTCTAGCACTTTTAGAGAAGGTCTAATCATCTTGAATCGGTAGAATTCACTCGAGAGTCGAGACAATGAGACTCTTGGTAAGCAGTTTTCCCCTGTCAGCGCTTGGACCCATCAAGTACGGCCCATAGGCCTCCAAAACCTTTTACGCAAAAGGAGCAAATAAGGTAGTGCTTGTAAAGCCCAATTAACATTTGGGTCCGGGTCTTCCTCAAAACCCAGGCGGTGCCCGCTATCCGATCCGTTTTCCGATCAGACTCTTCCTACCAATCAGGTTTAGTAGGACAACTGATAGGGTTCCAGCTTTCGGAGGAGGATTCCTGTTTTTGCCCTTTCTTTCTCCTCAAGTCGAGTCATCGTTGTTGCCAGCAGCAGCAGCAGCAGCACCTGGCGAAGTGGAAACCATTTTAGCAAGGGGGACGGTTTCAATTCTTGCTCTGTGCCCTTCTTTTGGCAACTCACTTGTCACTGAAGCAAATCAACAAACACTTGGAACGGAACTCTTCCATGCTCTCTCCGCCGCCATACAGGCTCTCTTATTGCCTGGTTGCTTTCTTACTCGTCGATTCTGGAGGCCTGGTCGTCGTTGAAAGTGAAAGGTACGTGCAATTTGCCTAGAACTTCGGAGAATTGATTGTGGTGGACTGTTCTTGCTTTTCCCCTGTTTGTTCCCAGACTATCAGGAATAGGTATGTTTAACAATTTGGTAGGGGTAATGGACGGTAGCTTAAGTTAAAAGAGATTACGGTGACGTGATTGAGTGCCTTGTGTTGTGTATGATTCTGGTTCTGGGCTGGCAGCTTAGTTCGTTGCCGGAGAAATGAAGCTTGGACAGGAAGTGTTTTATTGCCGAAAATTAAACTTGCAGTAGGCCGATTCAGCTGAAAATTGCTGCTGGTTTGTGCGCATTACATTTCTTGCAGTTTTTGAGTGCCAGAAGTGTCTTGCTGTTTGCAGACTGTTGGACTGCTGAACATGGGAGTCTGCTTGATGTGCTAGGGCAATAAAGCATGGAGATAATCGAAACCATCTCCAGTCTTCCGGTCCAAGATCCTCCCGAGGATGAATTCTCTGCGGCTGATTTGACCTGGACCAAGTTTGGGACTGCTGATCGTTATGATGAGGTTGCTGTAATTCCTTACAACCGCGTCGATACGTTTATAATTGGGGAATGCTCTAATATAGAATGCCCAACACGTTTCCATATCGAGAGGGGGAGGAAACGGTCTAAAGGAAGCCTGAAGGAACATAAGAGTGATGACTATTTGGAGTATAAACTGTAAGCTCCCTGCTTCTTCATCTCCCTTATCCACATTATGCACCATGTAAATGGTTGGTTTTCTAAAATGGTTTTCTGAATTGTGGTTTCCTATGCTGTACAGTTACTGGTGTTCATTTGGTCCTGAGAATTATGGGGAGGGTGGAAGCATATTACCTAGCCGAAGATACCGGCTTAATACCCGGAATCGTGCTGCTAGACCTCAATCAATGCGTGGTTGCACATGCCACTTTGTGGTGAAGCGCCTATATGCCCTTCCATCACTTGCGCTTATTGTATATAACGACAGGCGACATGTCAACAAATCAGGGTTTCTCTGTCATGGACCGCTTGATAGGGATGCCATTGGCCCTGGGGCAAAGAAAATCCCTTATATTTGTAATGAGATTCAGCAACAAACTATGTCCATGATTTACCTTGGAATCCCCGAGGAAAATGTGTTGGAGAAGCATATCGAGGGTATTCAACGATATTGTGGTGCAGATCCAAAAGTCAACAGCCTTGCTTCTCAGTATGTCCAGAAGATGGGCATGATTATCAAACGTTCAACGCATGAATTGGATTTAGATGATCAAGCAAGTATCCGGATGTGGGTTGAACGCAACAAGAAATCCATATTTTTTTATCAGGACAATTCAGAAACTGATTCTTTCATTTTGGGCATTCAGACCGAGTGGCAGTTGCAGCAGATGATAAGATTTGGTCATCACAGTCTCATTGCTGCTGACTCAACATTTGGCATTAAGAGACTCAAGGTAATCTCTACTTATTTATTCAAAATCGTCATTACTAATGGTTTAACTATGGATGTTTAGAATCTCTGTGGTTTTTAATGTGGCAGTACCCATTGAGCACACTTCTTGTCTTTGACTCGAGACAACATGCACTTCCTGTCGCTTGGATCATCACACGTAGCTTTGCGAAACATGATGTTGCTAAATGGATGAAGGCTTTACACGAGAGAGCTTCATCTGCAGAGCCTGGATGGAAGATTAATGGATTCTTGATTGATGATGCCGCTGCAGAGGTTGATCCCATAAAGTAGGTTATTGTCTCTGAAAAGCTTGTTTTTAACTCTTCATGCTTGATTATATTCTTCTTCTAATTCATCATTTTGTGACTGAATGATCAGGGATGTATTCAGCTGCCCTATCCTTTTCTCACTCTGGCGGGTTCGTAGATCATGGCTGAGAAATATTGTTAAAAAGTGCAGTAGCATTGAAGTCCAACGAGAGATTTTCAAACGTCTTGGGAGGATCGTTTATAGTATTTGGAGCGGGGTTAATGCTTTGACTGCTTTGGAAGAACTAATCCATGATTTTGCTGATCAATCTTCATTCATACAATACTTTGAAGCTTCTTGGGTGCCAAAGATTGGTTAGCTTTCTTTCTTGCAAGTGTTCTGATTTCTCATTGATAAGTACTTTGTTGAAAGTCACAGTATATGTTTTCTGGTTTTTTCTCACAACAGAGATGTGGCTATCAATGATGGGCACTCTTCCTATTGCTAGTCAAGAGGCTTCCGGTGCGATTGAAGCTTATCATGTAAAGCTGAAAGCAAAATTATTTGACGACTCACATCTCGGAGCGCTACAAAGAGTAGATTGGTTAGTCCACAAGCTAACAACTGAATTGCACTCTAGCTACTGGCTAGATAGGTATGCAGATGAAAGTGATTCTTTCAAAAACGTAAAGGAAGAATACGTTGCTTCTACTTCATGGTACAGAGCATCTCAAATCCCTGATTCTGCTGTTTCATTTGATGACAAAGATCGTCTGTTTGCTAAGGTTGCAAGTCAAAATGATGGAAACCCAGCACGTGTAGTCTGGAACCCCGGATCGGAATTTGCATTCTGTGATTGTCTTTGGTCATTGCAAGGTAACCTATGCAAACATGTGATCAAGGTAAACTTTATGTGTGAATCTTCTCCAGATTCTCAGCCTTCCATGTCTTTCCAGTCGTTTAAGGATATTTTAGTGGATATATGTAAGATGCCGATGGATGACTCGGTTGCTTTAGATCTTTCCATGGCATGGACTCTCCAGATGGTTGATCAAATAAAGCAACTCGTCGAACTGAACAGTACGAACGATATTGGTTCGGTTGTAAACACCTTACCCCTGCAGTGGGTTTCTAAGAAAGGCAGAACATCTGTTGGCATACCTTCTGCAGCTTGTTCTGGTCGTCCATCGGGTTCACAGATTACGAAGACCGTGAAAAAGAGCCGAAAGCGTAAGAGAATTGGGAGGTGGAGATAGTTAGGGTTATTTGGTTACAGGGGAAAATATGTGACCAGTGTGTAGAACAATTCTTGAAGGCAGATTTTGTCACGAGTTTTTGAAACCTCAGGTGGATAGATACCATGTTTGCTATATTATCTGCAACTGAGAAGCTGCTGGGAGATCATTCATGAGTATGAGAAGATTGGTTGAGCAATTTGTTTCGCAGATGATAGAAAAACTTTCTACTGCGGTAGAAGTGTAGTACTGTGAATCTTTTGACTTTAGCTTGAGGTGGTGAAAAAATGTTTTAGGTTTACAGTGCACAAAGAATTGTACAGGCCAATTTACTACCTGATCCTTCAGTTAATTACTCGTAGAGTTTTTACATTGGCGGCGGGTTATGTTGCGTAGCCAGCTAGCTGGAACTCGAAGTTGCTACTAAACAACTCTGTTGACTGAAACATATAAATTATATAATTGATCTGGAAGCCGAGCAAATATAGAGAGAATTCTGTGAATGTGAGAGACATCAGATGTGGCATTTGATATACTTGTTATTAGGGATGTCAATTTTGACCTGACTCGATTTACCCGATCTGTTTGGCCTGTTTTGGGCGGGTCAGACCCGCCCTGTAGGCGGGGCGGGGTGGGGCGGGCATGGGTACCTCTCATCGACCCGACCTGGCATGACCCGCCCCATTCTCGACCCGTTCTTGCCTAAATTACATATAATCTTAGTCAAATTACTTAGAATTCTCCTCTTATTACATTATATTTTAGCTATAATAAAGTTATAATTAAGTGAAAATCTCAATTTCTTCTATAATTTAACTAGATTTTATCATATTATGGTTTCTTTCTTGGTCTTTTAATGAAACTAACGAATATTTCTAATGTTTTTCACATAAATTACATACCCGTTGGGTCGATCTGCCCCGACCCGCGTCCAGTAATAAATTACCAGACCTGGACTTGACCTCCTATGGGGCGGGTATGGATATCGAGATACTCGCCCCGGACCTGCCTCATTGCCATTCCTACTTGTTATAGATGCCAATTACTAGTTTTGCAAAACATACAACACGAGTTCATCATTGACTGAAATACTGAATATGAACTGTAATGAATCTTGGTGAGGGTAACGATTAGCGATATGATTAATGTACATATAGAACTTGCCATCGGGTCGGGTAATTTCGGATCGGGTTGGATTGGATGATTTCGGGTCAAATATTGTCCCAACTCATTCGATTTCGGGTTGGATTACAGGTCGTTTCGGGTTATGAGCGCTCTCATAAACAATATCAAACATGCTTCATATTTTCTTGAAGTACACAAATTTTCACATATGCATGACAATAGTTTACCTAACACATGTCAATTAACATATTCTCAAATCCTCTCATGCTAATGAAATGAAATACAAAATGCGAAATCGTCAAAAAACAATCACAAGAGTAATACTACTATAAGAAACACATGATATTTGATCAGTGGCGGAGCCAGAAAATTGGCCAAGGGGGTGTCTTTATTATATCATAAAAAATCACCTCTATAATAGAATAGTCAACTCTAAATGAAACAAAAAGTCAACAACGCAATACTCTAAATTCATACAATTACATAAAAATAGTTTCACGTACACCAGTTACAAAGCCAAACAAATAAGATCAGTACATACAAGTCAAGACTTCCATTCATCAAATATTACAAATGAGAGCTCAGAAGTACCTTAGAATTGATTTTGTGAAACAAACAAGTGAACTTCAATTGACACTTCTTCACTTTCAGTTTTGTTTAAACAAAAGACAAGAAATTCCTCTAAAAGAAATGAGCAAGTTTAAACAAAAGTCAACAATTTATTACTATAAATAAAGGCGAAAGTGCATTGCATAACAAAGCTCACTCGGTCAAGATGATAAAGAATTCTTCTTGCAACTAAATGGTCACTGATCCGAATTTGTATATACCCCTACTGGTGAATTTTTTTCCCCAAACCCAAGGGGGGTGCAAACAACCCCCTCCTCTCCAAGTGGCTCTGCCACTGTATTTGATTATCCTTAAACTCCAAATATGTCATTCAAATCCTTCTTAATTTTTTTAAATATCTCACCAAATTATGAGTGATTTTATCATTTTGAGAGTGATATATAGAATGGAATGGGTCTAATGGGTTGACCCGTTAACCTACCCAACCCAACCAAAAAAATCACTTGTTATCGGGTTCGGGTCATTCGGGTTATAAAAACTTCAACTTTTCAAGCGAATTCAAGTCAAGTCAACAGGCCGGATTGTAATTTTCCAGGACTAAATGTACAATAGCAAAAGCATTGTTTTTTTTTTGTCAAAAGATATCATATATTGATCAAAACAGAAGATAGTTACACCCTGGAAACCAGCCATGTCTGGAAATTAAAGAAGCGACTCATAGTCGGATACAAAGAGAGGGTTTTCCTAGCTACCAAATGAGCTACCCTATTGTTCTCCCGACCTACAAAATGCACACTAAAGCCAGGCTGAGCACGAAAATAATGATCAATCTCTTCCAGAACAGCACCCAACCGACTATCTCTTGTGTCTAGGGGTGGGCAACGGGACGGGACGGGATACCCGTCCCGTTTTAAACGGGTACCCAGTCCCATTTGGAGACCAAAGTCCATCCCATATCCCAAACCCATATGGGAAACGGGTACCCATTACCCGTATGGGACGGATAACGGGTACCCATACTTCCCATAAATACCCAAAGTTAAAATGGATTTGGGATGAAGGAGGCGCCGAGGCCCGAGGCGAGCTAGGTTTCGACCTTTCGTCTCTTCTCTCTCGTCCCGCGAAGACGACTCCTCCAGCCAGGGACAAGACAAAATACAGAGACAGACCTTTCCAAATTCCAGAGAAGCTGCCGCATGTCGTCGCGTGTCTCGCGTCTTCTAGGGCCTAGGGGTGCGTCAGCATCTCAACTCTCACGGGCTGAATTAAATGGATTTTGTAATTTTAATGGATTTTGAATTGGGTTGGGCCTGGGCGCATGGGCTGAATTACATGTCTTTGTAATTTGAATGGGTACAACGGGTACCCATATTACCCAAACGGGTATTCGCGGGTAACCCGCGGGTACCCATATTAGGACTGTTCAATCCCAAGTCCCATCCGTTTAAAATATTACGGGTAATATGGGTACCCGTAACCCTTAAAAAATGGGACGGGTACGGGTATACCCAAATACCCGTTTCACGTTGCCCACCCCTACTTGTGTCGGCCTGATTAATTTTGTCAATTATCACCTTCGCATCGCCCTCAAATCGGACCTCCGACAAACCTTGCTCCATACACCAAATAATAGCTTCCCTAAGCACAAGCATTTCCACCACTGCAGGATCATCCATTTGAGCAAACTGGACCCCTCTAGCCAGAAAGAGTGTCAGCGCTGGGTCAAAAAGAACCATCCCACCAGCCGAATGAGACCCACCCTTAGTAGCCCCGTCCCACATGCAAACCAAATGGAAATCATCCAAATGTGCTATAGAGTGCATTATCAGGGTTTGGACCCTAGGAGTCTGGTCCGCTGGTAGACCCAACCATTCCTCATACTGTTGGTTAAACTGTCGCATGAGAGTTGGGATCCCAAATTGTTTGCCTTCAAAGACCACCCAATTCCGAGATCGCCAGATCCTCCAAAGGATGGCAACAACAGCCATAACCACTGACGGTTGATGGATCAAACCCAACAGACGTTTGAGAAACAAAGGAAAAGTCTGCCGAGGCAAACCCTCTCCCAAGTATTCCAGCCCGGAATAATCACAGAGATCCCGCGCCACTGGACAATAAAGGAACAAGTGTTCCATTGTCTCCGGGCCATCCCAACAAACTGGACACCGAGGTAGCACCTAGACCTTTTTCTCAATAAGCGCCTCCATAGTCGGCAGAGCCCAATTAAGAATTCGCCAAACAAATACCTTCAACTTCAGAGGGATATTTGCCTCCCAAACTCTAATCCAACTCGGCTTATCCATCCAGCTAACCAAGGAACGCCACCCCCCTCCTCCTGTCCAAACCGACATCCAAATGATAAGCCGTCTTAACCGAGAAGACCCCGTCAGCCGTAAAATGCCAGATGAGCTTATCAGGTACATCCCGACGCGGGAGGGGAATAGCTTTAATAGCCTTACAGGTGGGCGGGTCAAACCATTGGCTGAGCATTTCATCAGACCACCTCCCTCCCCCCTCACTAATAACCTCCGCCCATGAAGGATACTTTACCACCCCCAAGAGGGCCGAGATCTAGCAGTCGCAGTAAGAAAAGACCCTTGAGGGAAATACTTGCCTTTATAGGCCTGGGCAATAAGTGATTGAGGTTCATTGAGGATAAGCCAGCCTATCTTAGCCAAAGAAACTTGATTGAAATGTTCGAACTGGCGAAATCCCATCCCCCCATCATGCTTACTCCTGCACATGTTACGCCAGGACACCCATCTAATCTTAGGATTCCCGTCCTCCACACCCCACCAAAAATGGGCCACATGCTTATCTAAAAGGCGACAAAGAGCCAGGGGAAGCCGGAAACAGGACATAACATGAAGTGGAAGAGCCAACGCTATGGATTTAATTAATGTTTCCTTAGCAGCCCACGACAATGCCCTTTGCTTCCACCCCTGAAGCCGCTCTAGGAGTTTTTCCTCCAAATATCTGAATGTAGCTGTTTTGGATCGGGCAACCAGCGTTGGAAGCCCCAGATATTTATCATGGAGCCCCATCGCACCAACCCCTAGAATCATGGCCAAGAACTCCTGATCTGGCGTGGAAATATTCTTGCTAAAGCACACCGCCGATTTCTCCAAATTAACGCGTTGACCACTCAGTTCCTCATATTCATTCAACACCTCAATTAAATTATCGCACTCCTGCAGAGAACCGCGCAAGAATAAATAAGAATCATCTGCGAAGAACATATGCGAGATTCTTGGAGCACGAGGAGCTACTTTGACCCTCTCTAATTTTTTCTCCGTGATCGCCTGTCGGGGGAGGGCTGCAAACCCCTCCGTGCAGAGTACAAACAAGAGAGGAGAGAGCGGATCTCCCTGGCGAAGGCCCCTAGAGGTAGTGAAATATCCCGAAGGTGTACCATTCATTAGAACCAAGAAGGAGGATGATCAAAGACATTCATGTATCCATCCTTGCCAGACTGAACTAAAACACATCTTATCCAAAACTGCAAGCAAGAAGGGTCATTCGACTCTATCATAGGCCTTTTCCATGTCAACCTTCAGAGCCATGTACCCCTTCTTCCCTTGCGTTTTTATTTTCAGGTACATTAGTTCATGTCCTATAAGGATATTATCAATGATCTGTCGATCCCTGATAAAGCCATTTCGGCCTTCCGAATCGATCTGCGGGAGCATGCTAGCCAGCCGTTCAGCCATGATTTTGGTAATCACTTTGTAAACAAACTGGCAGAGACTATTCGGACGCAATTGTCTAATTGTTTCCACCGATTCCACTTTAGGGATCAAAGTGAGCCAGGTATGATTAAAACTCCGCAACATCCGACTCGAGGTGAAGAAGGAGATTACTGCTTCAACCACCGAAGTGCCCACAATATCCCAGAAAGCTTCAAAGAACTTCCCTGTGAATCCGTCCGATCCCGGGGCCTGTTTCGAACCCATGGAAAAGACCGTACTCCGGACCTCACTAGGCAAAACCTCTGCCGTCAATTGTGCATTCATTTGCGGAGTAACATTATGGGCAATTGGCAGAGTCGCCACCCTCTCAGTCATATTAAGAACCTGATAAAGGATAATATCAGTTTATTCACGTGATAAAGGATAATATCAGTTTGGTCACTGATAAATGGTTTAATCGGCACAATCGGTTGATATGATTAGTATATCGCACATTTAAACTCTTACCTTTTCCTTGTTGGTCATTCTGTATAGGTTTCGACAATAATCCTTTTGTAGGTTTACCAATAAATCCTTGTCAGGACTGTTTTCACGAGGAAAAGTTCTAGTCTTTAGAGGAGACAAAATACCTAAACACACTTAATTTATGCATTATTGTGTCACGTCAATTGATGTTTATTCACGTAATACTATACTTATTCACGTAATACTATACTTATTCACGTAATAGTGTATGTTATTCTATGTAAATGGAAATTCAGACTTTTTCCCCGAATAATTTACATTTGGGTATATTTTTATAGAATTAAATTTGGATTCTCAATTAATCTGTAAAAATGTATTGTATTGATCATAATATATACAATGACATCCATTTTGTTATATTTGAAAGTTTAAAATTTAATTTTATAACGGCGTGTATAAATAACAATATGCGTGAATAAACACCAGGTTGCATGACTACAACATTAGTTGCGTGAAAAACCAACAGTCTTACGTGGATAACACTGATAACACTAATATTACATGAATAAACTCAAATTTACGCCAGCCAACGAATGAAAAAAATGTGTGAAGTACGCGTTTGCAAAGAGACCGGACTCTTTCTATTATACCCTAAAACCTTCCACGTGGTTTAAGAATGCTGTGGACGTGGTTTAAGAATGCTGTGGAGATATTGTATAATGACAGTATTTGAATGGATGGAAATTCAGGTTCGGCTGTGATTTCTTGACATATGGATAAATGCAAAATACATGGAATGAAAGTCGTCGTCTATTCTTTTTTGGCCCTTGAAGGGGCAGTGACGTCCTCACAACTGGGACTAGAACCTGGCGGCATTTTGAACAATTAGATCTTATTATCTGAGTTGAAGTCTCTTCCCATTTGTTTGCTTGTATACTTTGCATCGACCTCAAATCTGCCTCTTCTACTAGCAAATCGAGTATCTAAATTAATTATCCTCCTCCCCGAGTCATGGAACCAATTGACCGGCTGCTGCAACTGGCCACTGAAGAACGACTTCTTGGTGCTTCGCGCTACATCCGAATTTTCAGAAATCTTATGCCGTTGTTCTACTCAGTGGCGGACTCAGGCATATGAACGAGGAGGGTTGAGTTCAACCGTAATTATTGAGGGAGGCGATTAAAGTCTTTTTTTGACTACAGATCTATTTTCTAAACTTGTCACGAATTTTATATGTAATTTTTTCTGTTTTCATAACCGGACCGAAAGTTGAACCAGAAAAGTTAGTGATTTAGGGTTTCAATGGTTAACCGTTGGTGAATTGTGATAGAATCATTCATGATAAATAACATATATAAGACTTGTATATTACACTAATTTAAGAATGAAATTATCATTGACTATAAACAAGTTCAAATTCATATCATCACCAAAATATCTAATAAATCATTCCAACCATCTCACAAAAGAAACCATATTTGTTTTAATTCAAATTAAAAATTACGGTTCTAGTCGGTAGTAGACAACTTAAGTCGACAATAAGGTTGAGGAAGAATATGTAAAATTAATAATTATGTTTGATGGTCTTAGTTTATGTTCAAGCATCTTTTTGTTAAAATAGTGAATCAGTGGACCAGTTAAACAATGCTGGTTCATCTGATTTTATGTTGAACCGTGAAAAATCGTTTGGTCCATCAATAATCATCAAGCAATGAACCGGCCTGGCCGTTGATCCAGGGGCGGAGCTACATGTAACGTAGGGTGGGCCCCGGCCCCCCGAGATTGGTCCCGGCCCTAGGATTTTAACGATATTTAGTACAAATTTTATAAGTAGACTTGTTCTGTAAATCTAGTTGTGTAATACTCATGTGGTCTAATGGTAGTCAAGCTTGATTTATGTTTTAAAGCACATGGGTTTGATCCACCTTGGCCACATACATTTTGTTTCATTATTTTCGACCCCAATCTTGAAATCCTGACTCCGCTCTTGCGATTGATAGGGTTATAAGATAAAATAAATTATTGACTGGGAAATATCAAGTACTATTATAATTTGTTCATCATAGATGAAATCATTAAAATTGGAGACGTTTCGGTTATCATGAGAGTAGTATTTGGAAAAATAAATTGGAGACGTTTTCTTATTTTTGTAATTTATTGTTTTAATTTAGGTTTAATATACTTGTATATCCAAAACTTTTACGGTTGTGCCAATAATATCAAAATTTTCCGAAATACCACTTATATCCATGTTTTAAAGTTGTTCTTTGCCAAATCTATCAATTTCCCAATATATTTTTGGTTAAATACACTTGTATATCCAAAAATACCGTTAAAGAATGTGAAGGAATTGGATATAAGTGGAATTTTGGGAAATTTGGATATTATTGGCACAACCGTGAAAGTTTTGGATATACAAGTGTATTTAACCTTTAATTATCACTTACATAATGTCAATATATGTGTAATTTTTAAATTTATTATCCATGGATAGACGTGGATATTTAAAACCCGATTGGGTGTGAGTATGGTTCTGATATTCTACTCAATTCTAATATGTGTATGGGTATGGGTAAAATCTGAACTATTTCGGGCAAGGTAACGAATATGCACTATCCAACCCCAACTCGACCTGTTGTCATCCCTACCCACAAAAAATAAATAAAGTTCATTATTATTCTTACACTATATTTGTTCTTGTAGAGTGTAGACAACAAGAAATGAGCTACTGGTTTAGATAAAGTGTGAACATTATGTTGGATCAAAACTCTAAAGAGAAGAGTTTTTTCAACCACAGATAACTATTAAGAGACAGAATAATTCACACATAGATACCAAATTTATTGCACACATACCATTGGTATATATTTTTGTGAAGTGGCTTCTTATGATTGTAAGATAAATATATTACTTGATTGTTATGTTTTATTCATTAGATATATTATAGATTGATGCATTAACATGTTAACTTTTTTCTCACTTAAAGATAATGGATAAAGTTATATTATATCAATTAATACGATTAACCAATTAACATAATCAATTAAATTTTAGTTTGATTTATTTGGTTGTTGGATTAATATGATAGATTTGATTAAATTATTGTATGAGATTGTTAATAGAATTTAGACTTATTAATTTGATAAAGAGTATGATAGTTATTCGAACTCTTCCAATAGTTAAAATGAATATATGATGTGAAATGACGCTGTAAGTTCTATAAAATAGAATTGATTGAAAAATTGATTTATCGTTAAAACACGTAGAATTTGATTGAGAAATTGGTTTAGTTATCGACTCACTCAGAACACGAGGGCCAGAAAGCAACAATCTCCACATTTCATATGCCAACAAGAAAAGGATCGCCGCTGTTTCACGATTCCATCCTCAAATCTCTATATCCTACAATATCCCTAAATATCATAATTCATCTCGCTAGTATTGGATTATATTATACTTATGCAGTATGAACAAGTAACCTCTCTGACTCTGTGTGCTCCACTTTATATAAAACAAAAAAAGACAAAATAAAAGCGATAAAAAAGCGGAAGTCAAATTTCCACTGAACAGCCACCCTGAACATGACCGGAATACTCCGCCGGCGGCGTCTCCAACTTCTCCCACGCCAGCGCCTTCAAGTCCAGCGTGTACACCTGACGCGGCTCCCCGTATCTCGCCGACCCCACCACCAACATCTTCCTCCCCTCACCCCAGGCCGCCACGTACTCGGGACTGCCCACGTCATCCGGCAGGACAGCAACGAGCCGCCACGTGTCGCTCCTTCTCGCCACCACCTCACCCCGCCGGCACAGGTACAAAACCCCGTCTCCGTCGTCTATGGCGCAACTCCTGGGACATGCCGCCGTCTCCAGGAAGCCATCCTGCACCGGGCCCCACCGCCACGCGGCGCCGGTGTCGAACACCTCTGCTCCTCGCTCGAACCTCCCCTGCATCTCCGTACGGTACCCGCCGATGACGTGGAGCATGCCACGGTGGAAGACCGCCTTGCACTCGTCCCGCTCCCACGCCATGTCGGGCAGCGGGGCCCACTCGTCCCTGCTGACGTCATAAGCCAGGCAGGACCTGAGCGCATTTTTCTCCCCGTCGTGTCCTCCGACAACGTATACCGTCCTCCGATCCGGGTCGGCCGCGCACCCGAAGAACGACCGGGTCGGGCCGGGGATGCGGGTCCCGCGCCGCCACGTGCCGGTGAGAAAGCTGAACGCGAAAACCAAGGTAGAAGGCTCCCAGGTTTCCGGGTCCAACCCGCCCAGGAGGACGAGATCCGACCCGACGCTGGCGACCTGGCAGAACATGGGTAAAGACGACGGAGGAGGGGGGAGCTCTGACCATAGCCCGGTGGCGGGTTCGAAGACGGTGAGCCGGAAGTTCGGGCCGGGTCGGTACTTGGCGATGCCGGAGGTTTGGTGGTGCTGGGTCGGGTCGACCCGAGCCTGGATGAAGACGAAGAGGTTCTGGGAGGTGGAGGAGAGCTTTCGGAGGCGGGGGAAGTCCGGGAGGTGGAATTCGGAGTTCCAGGACTTGCAGACGGAGGCGGCGGAGGGGAATTGGGGGAATTTGAGGCGGAGGAGGCAGTCGCGGCTGAGGTCGTCGGGGAGGCCCGGAATCAGCTGCGTTGTCGTCGTCGGCATGGGTTTTGATTTAGCGGGGTGAATCGAGTTTGGGAAATTGGGTTTGTGATGGGATGGGAATCGAGAAGGACTGATGATATATAAGAGAAGGGGAGGTATAACGAGAAGAAGAGATGAGGATGAAAGGAGGGGGTGAAGAGTGGGAATGGCGGGCGGGCGCGGCGGGAAAGGCGCGGGACATTGATTTTGATGGGGAGAGGCGTCGTTTCGTTGGGCTGGGAAGGAACGAAACGGGTCCGCGGGTTTTCTTTCATTCTTTCTGTCTGCCAAAGATGCTTTGGATTTGGAATGGAGGATTTGGAATGAGCATCAATTCTATTCCCAATTACGAAATTCCACCGGCAGCACCTAGCACCGGAAATAGCAATACTTGGATGGAGCGCACCGGAAAAGAACGCTACTTTATTTCTTTAATACCGGGGGAAAGTGTTGAAGGGACTAGAATAGGAAAACAATCAAACATCGTTCGGCAGGATACTCGGTTAGATCCAATTCGGTTATTTTACCGACGTACAGTAAGGGTGTTCAAACAGTGTGGTTGCCGTGGTACCCATTTTAACCAGTAGTATTTGGCTAATTTGATTTGGTTAATTTCGATAATTTGTTTGGTTTGGTTTGATTAAAAAAATGTAGCTTGTTTGGTTTAGGTGATTTGGTTTGGTTTCAGGCACTCCTAACCAACAAACCAAATTAACCAGTTAAGTAATTAGTCATATATCCAATACATATTATATACACATACTTAATACTTTGCATAACCACTCAAGAGTCAAATGTAAGATAATTGTATTTGTTACATGTATTTACGTTAAGGGTTAACTACAATTATGTGGATTGTTATGTGTTGTTCATTATATAAATTGCGAATTGATGCACTAACTGAAATTTTTTTCTCACTTAATGATAATGTGGTGTTATATTGGTTATTTGGTTAACCAATTAACCAAACCGAATAAACTTTAGTTTGGTTAATTTGGTTGTTTTATTAGTTTGGACGGTTTGGTTATAATATTGTATTCCATGGTTAATATAATTTAGACTTATTTAATTTGATTATTACCATGATAACCATTTGAACACCCCTAATGTATAGGATGGGGTCATTGCATAATCAGATGTCAAGTCGAGACTAAAATGCCTTTTGTTTTTCTATTTGTTAATTGATTTTTATCCTTTAGTTTTAATGTGGTTTTCTAAAAACAATTTTACATATATTGTTGTGATTTATAAAATGATATCAATTTTTAATATATTATGAAAAATTGTTTTTTTAGCATTCATACAACTTTGTACCACCTTCGTTTTTCATTCAAATTTTAAAAATTTTTGTCCAGAAGGAACAAGTTCATTATTTTCCAAAATATATCAAAGTGGATATCGATTTCAAGAACACAATTAATTACAACTTAAAATGAAAGAAATATAAACCGTTAAATTAAATTGGGTGGAAAGTTAATTGGTGAAGGTTATGCATGGTTATATATAGTAAAGGGGACGGATACAATACGTAACTTATGGTGTCACTAATTTGCATCAACCTACACTTACACCATTTATGAAATGTCTCTAACTTTGTCCAGTTAAATAATTTTAACGGATTATTTCTTTTTTTTTTTAAGTTGAAATGTATTTTTTTTTCTAGAAAAAATATTAATTATGTTTTTCAAAATGATATTTAGTTTGATATATTTGGATTAAAAATTTGATAAATTAATTACGAGTTCAAAATTCGAGTTTAAAAAGATTAATTGCCAAGCACAGCGTTAGGAAATTAATATAAACGAAAAGTGAAAAAAAGAGTTTATGCAAACAATACAACAAAGAATAATCCGGATTCTCTTCTGTAAACAACAAATACAACTCATAGAATACGTTATCATTCTCTCCAATAATAGAATTTTGTCTACTTTTCACAATTTCAAATTTCCTGCAATGAGAGTGAAAGTAACAAGGGTATTTTTATCTTTACAATTAATTATTGATTCCATATAAAAATGTCAATATTCAAGATTTGAACTCGAGTCTCTTCAAACAAAGATAACAATCACAACCAATTACACTAAACAATTTTTTTTTGTATATTTTTTTAATACAAAACATACACGAAGTGACACTATGAAAATCAGAGGACTTTTTCATCATGATTAGCAAGCCCACTAAGTCTATTGTATTTATTTTTATGGTGCTTGATACTGCAATTTTCATAGCAGAGTTTCATGTATTTTCTCAATTCTAAAATCACTACTCTCTCCTTAATTTTCGCTAAAGGTAAATTGGTAATTGACCAACATGAAAAAAACTAATTATATTACTACGTGTTGTGTCTTTGCATTTTCAATTTATATTTAAATTTGTACTTTTTATCTTTTTTTTTTTATCTCTTTCTAACTTCCTCTGAAATTCCCTCCATCGTGCGATAGCTTGCGCCCCTTTCACTTCATAGTACAAGGCCGCCTTTGAAAATCAATCTTCCGGTATCTTGGCACTACGATTTTATTCTTGGGGATTTAAACTGTGCAAGTAAAAGATTTTAACTCCGATATCAATCAATGGCAAATAGAATGGAGTTCAATAAATGGATGTGCAGAAGGAGGATTAAAAATTGAAGTTTTGGTTGAAACATACGCCTCTTGAGATTGAAGATAGAGTGGATAAAATTTTTATTGCACAACGGAGAGTGGCAGCTATTAGATCTTTAGATTTATGATTTTGAAGCTATCGCAACCTAATTCTAGCTTAAAACGAGGAATCATCGATTGATTTACTAAAGTAAGTCGTTCGATTCTTTATTCAACCTACTGGAACTGATAGAGAAGGAGTGTCTAATTTTGTTCCTTATTACTTTGATCGAGTCTAATAGTATATTGGAGGTAACCCTAATTTTGGCGTTTGCTCTCAAGTTGTGATGGTCCATTCTTAGCTGAGTTGTTAGCATATAGTTGACTTGAATCAACTGCTCTCAATTTCTTTTTTATTAGTGGCATATTGTTCCTAAAAGGAGAGCATTGAACCTTTATGTAGGATTGCGAGGTTTAAGATTTAGTTTCAAACTATCTATGGTTCGTGAGGGAATTTCAGTGAGCTTTTATACTCTATATTTCTTGACAATCAACTAACCAATAGCATTTTACCGGGGACTTAATTATCATTATGAAAATGAGATCGATGATACATTGTTATATTTCTCCAAATGTTCGATCTATATATTCTTTTTTTTATGTATCATCTTAATCGAAGGATTTTCAATAAAATTAAACGGGTTGATAGACTTAAACATAATATGAAAATATAATAATTAAATATGAATATTCTGGTCAACGGGCCGGGTTATAAGCTAGTGTAGAAATGCCACGTTTTTTCAACTAGTCCAAAGTGTAGCATATGCCAATGTAGCAGTAAGCCTAAAGCTAAATCAATTTTTTTTGTCGGAAAACAGAGCGCTTAAAGGGCGCCCCAACCTTTATTCATCAACTAAACGGGTTGTCTGAACCCCAATAACGTCGTGGTACATCCAGTAAGAAAGAGTAGCATCAAGTACAACAATGGGCTGAACCCCAAGGGCCAAAGAATGACCCAGATTAGCAAGGTGGTTAGCGACAACATTCGCCTCCCTGTAGACGTGAGTGATCTGGACCTCCCAATCCCGAACAAGCTAGCGACGGATCTCAGCGATGCTCGTGTAATGAAGTTGCTGGTGTGTGGCCATCTCAATCAAAGACTTAGCCGTAGTGGAGTCTGTCTGTAAGATAACCTTCCTGATTCCTGCTTCCCAAGCGTGTCTCAGCCCATGCATAATCCCAGCAAATTCTGCACTCGAGATCGAACCCCCCAAAGGTTTGCGGAAAATGCTGTAATGAGGCGGCCATCGCCTCCCCTAACGATGCCGCCTTCCGCGCTGCTAGAAGGAGAGTGGATCACTGATCCATCTGTATTAACTATTAAGGCATGCCCAGCCTGGTTATGGTGGTTGCCAACTGATAAGCCTCTGTCTACGGAGTCCCCCATCTCCGAATATATTGCTCTCCTTTTGTAAAGCTCTATGAATCTGCAGCTTCAACGTACCAGCATTAGCCGATATGTGCGCATAAGGCTTTAACTCACCCCGAAAGCAGTAATCATTTCGTTTTTTCCACAATAGCCAACACATTGTAGAGAAAAGTGTGTCGTCGATGCTACGGCCTCGTCCTGTACTATAGTGCAACCGCCACCGATCGAAATACAATCTATAGAAAATGCTGTCTTGTTAAGCTAAATCGTTTTTCTAGAGCTGCACATTGACAAAAATAACAAGGGGAAAATTTAAAATCAAGTTTTTCAAACCAATTAAAACTCAACACCATGTCGAACTTCGATTTTTCGGATAATGAAGAGTGGCGGTCGGTAAAAACACCAAATCGGACTTCGATTCACCGGACACCATGGATTGTCGGTTCAGAGAGAGAAAATCAGGCAGGCAAAATGTAGTGAGAGAATTCGCTAATGAAAATTGTCAGCGGGATTGGGTTTTGTTATTCAAATTTTGATTTCAAATTTCAAATTTGACTTTCGAATTTTTCAAAATTTTGCCAAAGATTGCTGGAAGTTTTCTTCTCCAAAATTAGGAATAGAAAGTTTGAGCCAACCAGATTGATACGACTCAGCTGGGAAGCCGCAAACTAGCCTGCAACTCGCTGCCCGCAACACTAGCTTCGCTTTAGACAGTAAAAGACGCTTACGTTTCGTTCTTTACGGACCCAATAAACCCTGAAACGGACTGAACGATCTGTGGATCTCCATCATCTATAACGCGTACCCTTAATCCGAAACGTTGGAACACGGTACTACGTAAAGTTAGTTGAGTACTGTTTGTGCCTGGATTGTCCCAGGCGGTTTTGTGAGACTTTACTGGCTTCGGGCGGCTTTCAATGGTCGAGGGCGGTCTCCGAAACCCTGCAAGAAAGGTCCTCAGGCGGATCCCGGGACCTCCTCCGATGGCTAAGTTAGAGAGAGAAGTGAGAGAATAGTAAATAAGAGAGAGAATGGGGTAGGTAGAAGTTACCATCAATGTAGCCCATATGTGGGTATTTATACTAGTTGTGGTTGGATTGTGGGCATTTAATAGCCTATCGGGCATCCTGGGACACCTCCGACTTCATTGAATGCATCGTCAGAACGTACTTCTGTCATTCTCCGTACTAGGAGGGTCAGGTATCCGTTTGTCTTTATGTCGGGCAGCCTTTCGTCCATTCATTAGGTAGAATGTCGGGCGCTCTTCGTTGTATTCGCAGGGGAAAACCGCCTTCGACCGGTTTTGTGACTTTCTGTCCCTATCGGGCCCAACTCATTTCTTTACTGATTTTAGGTGACTATGGGCCTGGAGCCCAAGTGTCTCAGTATTTGGCCCAACATTTGCCCCCTAGGCGTGGTAAGCGATGGGTTTTCGCGGCTAAATGATATCTTTCGCCAATATTGAGCGGTTCTGGGTCTGGCTCATAGCACACCTTTTAGGCGGTGATAGGCCACATGGCATATGATTCCCTTGCTGACCCTAGTCGCGGAAGCATAGCGCGAGGGCGCCTGAGGGGTGGGAACCATATTTGTTCTCGTTTTTTGGCCGAGCAATCGCCACGTGTCGTGTATTGGGCATAGAGCCCTGACACCGCCAGACGGAACGTCACCTCTGGGAGTGTTATGTTCTTGGATTTCGCGAAAAGTGTCTTGTCATGGAGTCTCTCTTTCCCCTGTTGCCTTTAAGTAGGATTTGGGAGAGATTTTCTCGCCACCTTCCTCTCCGATTTGGGAAAACACTTTGTCTTCTTCCTCTTTCCCTTCTCTGCGAAAAGTTCTGAGGTTCTCGACTCCGACGTTTATAAATCTGATCGTCCAGGTGAGTTTCTAACTTGGGTTTTCACTTTGGAGCGTGTGGTTTCTTCTGTTTTGCTAACTCGCGTGCTACCTTTGTGGGTGGTGTTGTCGCTTCGGTTTTCGGGGAATCGCCGATCGCGGCTGGTCTCGCCGTTGACAGATGTTAGGCGAAGGTCCCCTCTCTCCGGCCAGGGGAGCAAGAGACGATGCCCTCGCCATGGGAAACACTTCGGCTGCTGAACCTGGCCCCGCGGTAGCGTCTGGGAAGAACCCTTCGACTTCTGCCGCGATGCTGCCTTCTCGCACCACCGAGAAGAAAGTTGCGGAGAACGCTCCTGGTATTCAAGGTACGAACCATTCTTCTCCCGTTCGAAGCATGTCTGAGTGCGCGTGGAATTTATCCGGGTTAGAGTTATATGTTGGAAATGGATCTGAATTGAAAGATTGCCTTGTCGGGGCTTGTGTAGACTTAAATAACTCTTGTGCTAACCTCAACCCTATACTAGTTGGGGTTGTGGCTACCTCTTCCGTGGTTGGGGATAATCTGGGTGAATTTGAGCGAGTATATTTAGATAGCATATCCTTGGAAGACTCGGAGGAGGTAGAGAGTGGCGGGGTGCGCTCGGAGGCGCATCCGAGTACTTCCTCCTCCCTGGAGATTTCCGAAATTGGGGAGCCGAGACCGCTTCCTATTGCCATCAAAGATTCCATGTATACTGTTCTCCATCATGAGGGTATGTGGGATGGTGAGCCAGTTCCTCAGGAGGTTTTTGAGCAGGGTCCTCCTCATGTGGCGGCCTTTAAGCCTAAGCAGGTGTTATACTGGCTTAAGTTGCTGCACATGCCATCCGAATGGCTTTATGCGGTCCCTTAGAGATGAGTCGCATTGGGTCATGCCCTAGCGGTTGGATACCTATTTTGGTTGAGCATGTTAAACTTGGGTTACGGTTTCCCCTTGACGACCTTCTGACAAAGACCTTGCATCGGCTCCAATGCACTCTTGGGCGGCTCTTACCGACTATTATCTTCCATTCGGTTATGTACCGTCTAGCGTGTGATCGCCTTTAGGAGGATCCTTCGTCCGAAGCGGCTAACCAAGCCTGGCTCCGTGACCGTCCTCCCTTTGGCCGCCACCGATACAGAGGCGGCCGAGATGGTGTTCCACACCAACAGCGAGCAGTTGGTGATGCCTAACGAGTACACAGCTACATCATTTGAGAGCAACCATCGTCTTGCAGGAACCACTTCACAATTTTTCTTAGGGGTTAGTGGTTGCCACCTCCTTAGGCGTTTTTGAGCTTTGATGTTCTTGTCGTACTGACTTAGCTCTTGTGTTGCAGGCTCAGATTGGATTTTAGCAAATCATCCTAATGAACGACCGTCTGCCCAAGACTGCGGATGACAATGCGGTCGAGATTGCGAACCTAAAAAAGAGTTTGAGTGATGGGCGGGCATCAATGATGGAGGAGTTACGACCGCAGACCGAGAAGAGTTTCACGGAGCAGTGGCGCGCAAATATCAGGAGTTGCTCGAAGAGAAGGAGGCGGTCAGGGCCGTCCGCGAGGAGAAGGGTCGCCTTGAAGGCATGATTCAGAAGTCGAGTGCGATCGAGAAGGCCTTGCTTGAGGCGCAGGAGGCGCTCCGTAAAGAGGTGGACGCACTCAAGTTGGAGAAGGCGTCCCTGCCGGTGGACCGTGAGACAGAGATGACCCCCGTCCGAGCTGAGGCTGGTCGTGCTTATTTGGAGTCTGCTGAATTCTTAGCCTATGACAAGGCTAAATACAAGGAGGTCGTTGGCAATGTGGTGGCTGGCATTCGCCACTTTTTCCCTGAAGAGTGTCCTGACGTGGCCTGGGATACGGACCACGTTTGGGATGCGATCGGTCACTGGTCGTCTTTTGACCTGAATTCGGAGGCTGATGACTCGGCGGAGGACGAGGCGAAAGATGGGGAAGGATCTGAGGAAGAAGGAGAAGTGGGAAGCAGGGGTTCTCAGAGTGTTTGAGACTGTCTCGAATTCTTTTTCAGTTGTGGTATTTTGCGAGCTTGAGTGTTTCAGACAATTTGCTCTTTTCATACATGAGTTGCTATAGTGTGGACAAGTTCTTGTGGCCGCCTTAGGAAGAAATTTTATCCTTCCCTTCGTGATGTCGTGGAAGAATTTGTTGCGACCGCGTTGGTGCGGGTTTATGCTTATTGCATGTTTTACACTTTGACTTCTCGTTATGCTCATTGTGAATCATGATTTTGGGTGGGTGTTGGGTACCCTCGTGCGTGTGAACTCTTTCTATTTTACGTATGATGATCTGCTTCGCATTTTGAGCTGCTATGACCGCAACTAAGACGTTGTTTGAAATTGTTCTGCTGTCGACTGTACTTAATTCTTTCGAACGTTCGGAAGTTTGCAAGGCAGTTACATCGTAGTTGGCTCTTTTCCTTCTGTTATGCGATTTGCGTGAAATGGCGATTGGATGCATGAGAGCGAGTTTGTTTTGTTTTGTATATCCTATGAACCTTTGTGTTATTTAATCGAAAGAGGTGTGCAATGTAGAGATTGAGGTCAAGAGTGTTGGCCGAAACAAGAATCAGTGTATTACGTGGGCAAAAGTGGGTGCTTAGTAGCATATCATACACTGTTACAAGTGGCGGGTCATCACCCTCTCCACCAAAAGGGATCCAGAAGTGGGTGCTTAGTAGCATCCCATATACTGTTACAAGTGGCGGGTCGTTGCCTTCTCCACTAAAAGAGATCCTTACATTGAAACGAGGAGGACCTCAGACCACGTCTGTGTGGTACTTTCGCAGATGCATGCCATTCCACATTTTAGAGACGGGAATGCCCTCCATGGTTGCAAGATGAAAGGTGTTGGGACTTGTCTTCTCTCTGATAAGGAACGGGCCTTCCCAGGTACCGACCAGCTTGCCATGTTCATCTTTCTTTTGGAAGTCCCGCTTGAGAACCATGTCGCCCTCCTCAAGGGGGCGCAGTTTCACCTTCTGGTTATAGGAGGTGGCTACTTTAGCCTTTTCGCTCATAATGCGCTCCATGGCTACCTCCCGCCTTGACTCCACCATGTTCAAGTGTTTGAGTAATCTTTGGTGGTTGGCCTCAGGGTGGTAAGCTTGGACGCGGAGGGATGGTAGGACCATTTCTTCAGGGGCGACCACCTCAGAACCATAGGTTAGGGCAAGGGGGTTTCGCCTGTAGCCGTCTTGTGGGTTGTGCGATGTGCCCATAAGATGTGAGGTAGTTCAACCGTCCATGCCCCTTTGGCGTCTCGGAGATGCTATTTTAATCCTTGGAGAATCAGCTTGTTGGACGCTTCTGCTTGGCCATTGGTCTGGGGGTATGCCACTGACGCCATCGTGCATGTGATGCGGTTTCGGGCGCAGAAATTCTCGAACGGCCTGCAATCAAATTGTGTGCCATGATCCGTGACGATCGAATGCGGGATGCCAAATCGAATCATGATGTTGTTGAATACGAACTTCTGGACTCTGGCACTAGTGATTGTTTCGAGCGGTTCTGCCTCGATCCACTTGGTGAAGTAATCGACAGCCACCACCAAGTATTTTTTTTCCCAGGGGGGCCGTTGGAAAGGGTCCCAGGAGATCAAGCCCCCACCTGGAGAATGGCCATGGACCGACCATGCTCTGCAGCTCAAATCTGGGGAGGTGGTTCCTGGAGGCGTGTACTTGACATGCGTGACATTTCAAGACAATGTCGGTGGCGTCTCTTTTGATAGACGGCCAGTAGTATCCTTTAATGTCTTTGAACCTTAGCGATATTTCATGGACACTCCGTCAGGCGATTCGATGACTATTCCTGCCCCTGAGGCGGTTTTTCCTGCGGCTCCGTCGATGAACAGATGCTAGACGTGATTATGCTCCTTAGAGGGGGAACTCTCCAGGGAGAATCCCTCGGCGATGAAATCTTTGAGTACTTGCCCCTTGATGGCCGGTCTCGGGGCGTACTCTATGTCGTACTTGCTGAGCTCGATCGCCCATTTTGTCAGCCTTCCGGAGGCATCCATACCCCACATGATGCTTTTGAGAGGGAGGTGAGATAGCACCATGATGGGATGCTCTTGGAAGTACGGTCTTAGCTTTCTGGCCGCGGAAGCCACAGCGAGGACCGCCTTCTCGAATGGCATATATCTTGTCTTAGTTGGGAGGAGGGCTTTGCTTACGTAGTACACGGGTTGATCTGAACCGTCCTTCGCCCTTCTAGCCAGGATAGAGCTCACGGCTTGCTGGGAAACTGCCAAGTATGGGTAGAGTCGCTCTTCGCTAACGGGGGCGCTTAAGGCAGGTGGGGAACTTAATTGATTCGTTAATAATGCGAAGGCTTTGTGACACTCGGCGCCCCATTGGCGTTTTGAAGCTGACTTTTTGAGCATTTGAAAGAATGGGGAGCACTTATTTGCTGATCGTGGAATGAACCTCCCTTGCGCGGCCATCTTGCTATTGAATGCCTGGATCTCCTTGATTGTCTTGGGCGGTTTCAGGCTGCGGATGGCCTCAATCTTCTTTGGGTTAGCCTCTATTCCTTGTTTTGTAATCATGAAGCCGAGAACTTTTCCTGCTTCAGCCCCGAAGACGCACTTGAGGGGTTGAGCCTTAGGTTTTTCCGCCGTAGAGTCTCAAAGGTTTCCCGTAAGTCAGAAAGGTGGTCCCTTGCCCTATTGCATTTGACTAAGACGTCATCCACATAGGCCTCGACGTTTCGTCCCATCTGGTCCTTGAATACCTGATAGGGCAAAAGCGTATTGCTTCAATTCCTATCTCGTAGTAAAACCGGAAAGTCCGGGTATCGTCTCTCAGGGACTGGTACAACCTTATGATTTATCAATTCTGTGGAGCAAACTATAGGTGAAAATGGTTTGGTTGTTGAAATTATTATCTAATAGCAAAATAATTAAACAAAACAAGCAAATTAAATTTGTCGGGTTGAAATTAATGGGAGAAGGCTCTGGGAGAAACACCAGAATTCACTACCTATCATATCCAGATTAATTCACATATTCTAATCAGTTTAATCCATATCTCTACAGCTAGGATATCACTACTGTGCTAGCTATCCCTGTCGGGAATTACTATGTACTAAACAATTAAATCAAATCCTACTGTCGTAGCTCAATGACTTAATTATTTAGCATGAAGAACGATATCCTATTTAAGACCGCATAGCACCTTATTTAATCCACTGTCGCTTCGATAAGTTATTATGTCACATGAAATATGTTCAGTTATTAGGGTTTCACTGTCGCTAATAACCTAATTAACAACAAATCAATGTATTGGTGGCCAGTCAACACAAAGCATTAATTAATTCCATGCAATAGAGATTGGAAGAAAAGAATTATGAATCAATCCATCAAGTCTAGAAATAGCTATATCCTATGGTGTTTCCCCCAGAAATTGAGGTTTAGTTCATGACAAAAATAAAACACACAATCATGTTTTGATTCATCATGATATTAAGGAAGAGAGAAAGAAATACTGATAGTAGTCGAAAAACACTCAAATACTCCCTTCTCTAATCCTGCTACTGCTCTTATACGCTTTCCTCGTTCGCTCGCCACAGTCCTGCGCTGCTGCCGCTGCTCGTTCCAATTATTCCCTCTCGTCGCCCGCAAGTAATTCCGGTCCCCAGCTGCCTTTTCCTCTAAGACAATCCCCTGCGCCCGGCTCCTTTTTCCGTCCCAAGAGAATTCCATCCCTTTTAATTCTCCACCCTTTGCCCTCGTTCCCATCTTTTCCAAGCCTCCTCTCTGGTACACTTCTTTTCCCGAGCATTTTCTCTTCAAGGCCGCCAGCTCCCCCAATTAATAGGCCCGGCCTAAAAAAAATCCATCTTAAGGGACTCCGGGCCATAATTTTCCAGCCCAGTCGAGTCACTTCCGGCCCGCTGCTCCTCCTAGCCCAAGTGAGTATTCCACCAGTGATTCGAGCCCGATTGATTGCTTGTGCACTCGCTTCTTTTTTGTGTTTTCTCCACCTGTAACATATCAAACTCATGGCACTAGGCAGTAATGGTTTTTCAACCATTCCCGGGTTAGCGAGCCCTAAAATAGCACCAATTGGCTTAAATATATCATGGGATAGTCACATAAAGTTCAAGAATCCGATATATTAAAGCCGATTATCACAACCCCACACTCAATTGTTGCTTGTCCCTAAGCAACGACTCAAACAACACAAACACATAAGCATCCAAAACAATGACACACCACAGACTCACTAATCAAACACTCAAACAAAACAAAATTTTCCTTGTACTCTTGTTGTAATCATTAGTTTCTTTCTCAAAGGACAAGTTGTGCTTTAATGATCATACCTTTTCACCCCACAGCAGGTTGTCAAACCGGTTTGGGCCAGTGTGCCGGTTTAGCAAGTGGAATGGTTCGACCGGTGGTACATACCAGTTTGTGCCGGTTCATGCCGGTTAATATTACAAATAATTTACAAATACTCATATTTAAGCACGACATTTAATGTCAATACCTAAATATTGTACTTGAATCCAACAAATAGCATCAACATTTAACTTTTTAACACATAAAATAAATTACTTTTTATCAAATAAATTCACTAATATAAGATCATTTTACTTAGAGATATGTATCTCGATCCTGCCTGTCATACCGGTGGTGTCATACCGGTTTTATGACCGGTAAAGGTTCAACCAGGTTCAACCAGTGGTACGCCGGCCGGCGTGACAACCAGCCCACACTCAAGGTCTGTGCAACCCTTAACCATTGACTGACTCAAATCCATCAAAAACTCAGATAGCAACACTCAATTCCGATCGTCGGTAGTGGGTGATTAACAACTTATGGTGTAACAGCTATTAGGAATTCTAATCGCATCAGTGAGGTGCATATCTCGTGAGGACAGTCTGGCTTACTCACACCAATCATAAGCAATTAATTAAGCACGAGAGTCTCAAAAACTAATGGGGGAAGCCTTTCGCAAACATGATTTTAACTTTAAGCACATCACTACCTTTTATGACAAGGAGAGTCTTTCTCTCTTTCTGATTTTGCTTGTCGAGTGGTCGTATTTAGTTAAAGTGGGATTTTTTTTCTTACTACCGGTGACCGAGCAAGAGCAATTTCTGCTTCTTAGCACTTGCATAAGGGCTTCTTTCAACTCCTTTTCCTCGATCCGTGTGGAGGGTCACTGCACATCCTCAAATGGCACTTCACTCGGCATGGGATTTTACTTGATAAGCAACATCGTACGGTCGGGAACCGATGCTTAGTTGAACCTTTCCTAATCCCCCTGTGCAATGAGTGATTGCCTCACACTATTTCGGCATTTTACCCACACTTTAATTGTTATGGCAACTTTCTTATATTTTACTTGTCAGGTAGGATTTTCTCATTTTTAAAGATACAGTTCACCCCATCATAAAACCTTTTAAAACATAGAGACTCAATGCAAAGTCAACAACTCACAATAGATACAAGTAAGCACGGTATCCAACGATGTCGAATGGTCAATGTTCTCCATCTAACTATTTCACCAAAAGTCGTTACACTATCCTCACAAAATAGAGTGTTGCTAAAAGAGTTTGCTAATTCAAAGCACATCAAGTCAGTCAAACATCAAGCTCATTGTGAAGAACTATGCAATTCAACACTAGAGGGGGTGATTCCGATGATTTCCTTCATGCACAAACTCATTTCACACACATCACGGTCATTTACATCATGTTATCACAAGAGTACGAGGTTTTGTTTTAAAATTTTCTGATTTTTAGGTATTTTTTAGCCATTAGGTTAGCACAGGCAGACTGCACCAGCACAGGTAGATTGCATGCAGTTTGGCTGTGCACAACCCAAATGGCAGTTTTTTTACCACATGAAATAGGGACAAACAATTACTAAGACTCACCACCCCACACTCAGGATGGAACAATGCCCCTAATGTTCAACTCCTAATCTAAACATGCACGGGTTTGACACAACGAAAAAGAAAAATAAAGAAAAGAAAACTTACCTTGGGTTGCCTCCCAAGAAGCGCTTGTTTAACGTCCTCAGCCTGACGTTCATGGAGCTTTCAACCAATGGGTATGGAAAGGTATCCAGAATACCCTCCCGAGCAATGATAGAATGCATAACCTCCATCCAACATATGAGTCACCTCTGCAGGGCCAGGGGTGCGAAAATTTGGTATGACCTTCTTAGTTGGCATGTTGAACCCTTTAGTGAGGCGTAGGTGGTATTGCAGTGCCTCAAGCAAGTACTCTTCCTGTTTCTATGTCAGCTAAGAAGGAATAATAACAAGAAGATTGAAATCCTTACCCAAATATCTATACTTGAGGTGATCTGGCAAGGATTTTTGTCCTTGCT